TTGCTCTTACTAAAACCATTTCATTGCTTAAAAATGAGATTGAATCTCTTTCAAAACAAAATGAGGTTTTAGTTAAAGAAAATGCCTCTTTAAATGGTGAGATTGCTTCTTTAAAGAATGAGGAGTTTAATAATACTTTGAAAAAGGAAAATGAGGATTTAAAGAAAGGAAATGAAGATTTAAAAAAGGAAAATGAGGTTTTAAAGAGGAAAGCTTGTGATCTTGAAAATGTAATTTCCAAATTTACTTTGAGTAAAGAAAAATTTGATTCTATCTTAAAATCTCAAAGAAATGTTTATGACAAAGGGGGCATTGGATTTGATTATTCTAAAAAGCAAAAGACTTTTAAGATTACCTTTGTAAGAGCAAGTCAATCCTATCATGTTAATGTTACTTGCTATTGTTGTGGTGCAAATGGACACTTTGCTTTCGTATGTCCTTTGAAGAGATTGATAGCTCAAGGTAAAGTGAAGCAAATTTGGGTTCCAAAAGGAACTTTAAGTACTAACCCCCATGGACCCAAGCAAATTTGGGTACCAAAAATCAAAGCTTAATTTTGTTTTGTAGGAAAAGTTGATGGCAAAGTCATAAGAAAAGCAAAGTAGATCTTAAAAAGACTTATGCCTCAACAAGAATGTTGGAGTGGAAGTGCAAAGGAAATTTGTTTTTGAATGCTCCGCTCATGTGCTCAAATTGGTATTATTTATTTTATTGCATTTATTCATTGAGTATAATTACATTAGCATGACTATTAATTATTGGTTTATGTGTGCTCACTCTTTGATACATATGCTTGTTGAGTATGATTCCATTTGAGACGCCACCGCCACAGCGTCTTGAAATGCGGCCGAGCCTACCAGCCATTCTGCCCCTTGAGCTCGGGCGATACTTACAGAGCGCCCGTGAGAAATGTTCAGTTCGTTCAGGGCCCCTTCAGCTACGTTGAGGTTCTTGTCGGCCTCGGCGACCTGGTGCCTTAGAGAACCCAACTCGTTCAGAGCACGGTCCCTTTCAGCCTCAGCCTTCTTGGCCCGTTCCTCAACCCGGGCGGCCTCCTCCTTCGCCGCCTAGATCCCGCTTTCCTTTTCAGCGTGGGTTCGCTCCAGCTCCTCCCTGAGCTCGTTATTTCTATTTGCGAGCTCGTCTGCTCGGCTCTCCGCTGCAGCAGCTCGATTGGCCATCTCCGAGCCTTGCAGACAATTGACATCATCCACAAGGCTGGCCTTTTCTGCGGCCAACTGTTTGCAGTTGGTGCTGAGCTCGTTATTCTGAGAGCGAGCCCCCTGCTCACTCTCGAACAGCGCCACCGCGTAGCTGAACGCCTGCCAAACAGCAACAACTATAAGTCCCTAGAATGGAATAGTAAAACAGTTACGCAAGTGCGAGTAAATACTTACGTCCATCAGCTTGACCATGGCGACCTGCCCGCCATGCTGCTGCACGAAAGTCCTTGCCTGCTGACGAGCCACGGGAGGCACAAAGCTTTGCATGCCTTGCACCATGGCGGGTTAGCAGTCAGGCTTCACATAGCTGAAGCCGTCCGGATACGCGATCCTGGGCGCCGACACTGAGGCCGACGCAGATGCGGGCTTCGCTGTTGCTCGCATCGTGGCTGATGGAGCGTTTGACGAGCGCGCGACCGCAAGTTGAGCCGCCTGCGCGGGTTGAGTCCCCCCACTCGTTCTGCGCCGCATGAGGGGGACCTCATCTTCACTAACAGTCTCCTCGCGTGCACGCTTGCGCGTACTAGGGGCCGCAGTTTCAACCCGCTGCTCGGCGCGAGGCCTTGACGCCGAGCTGGAGCCACGGTGCTACGAGCTCCGTGATTGTGGTGTTGGAGGTGGCTGCTCGTCGAATCGTGTCTGTCTGTGCGAAGTGCTGCCCGCTCCACGACCTCGTGAGCCCTGGGCTCGCTGACACTGGCGTTCGAGTATGCTGCTCATTTCTCCTGCACAAACAAATATATAAGACTCAGCTCAGCTGGAACTCATACTATATGATAAAATTATACCTGCTGTGAATAGGTTCGCCACGTTGACAAACCCGAATACGGTGAGCTGCTCCGAGGTAACTAGGGCCTCTAGGTCTATCAAATTGTCCCTCCTCGCATGTTCTAGTAGTTGATTCTTGAGATCCGTGTCCCTTGGCAGCAGTTGAGGGTAATTGACGTGTGCATTCGGCACACGCCACTCAGATAGCCGAGCAGCGAGGTCGTTGCTTATTCTCTCTATTCGCGTATCGCGAACAAAGATGAATTGCCTCTTCCACCTTGCCACTTTGTTCCTGACATTCTTGAACAGCTGGCTCTTCTCTCTCCCGGAGAGGTAATACCACTTCGTGCCTCGGGAGTTGGGACACAGCCGGCATTGGAACAGCGACCTGAACATTATCGCCTTCGCCGGCACCTCCAACCTCTCACACAACAGCATAAAGCCTATGATGAACCTTATGCTGTTGGGCATCAGCTGCGTCAGAGCCAGCTCGTAATCCGCTAGCAAGTCGAATATTAGCCCGGGCAGGGGAAATCGTAGGCCGGCTTCAAAATAGTCCACGTACACTGGTATCCAGCCCGTCTGTGACACCGTGCACGCCCTTTCATTCTGCGCGCCAGTCCGGAACAATATCGTCCTGGGAATGTGGTACGCCCTCACCATCTCCTCCAGTTTCCTATACCCACTTATTGAGGGCACACTATCTGCTACTTCATGATGAAGCGCTGCCTTGAATCTAAATCCAGCGGGCAGGTCTTTGGGCGCCTTTCGTAGATTGCTCAACCTACCCATGATTGTCTTGCTTTCCCATTCTCCAATCACAGGCAGATCTGAGACATTGCTAACCACATTCCCTGTCCATTCCTCGCGACTGGGTGTCTCCTTAGAGGACGAGCTGCTGGACGATGAAGTCTGGTGGTCGCCCCCGTTGTCCCTAGCGCTCGAACTGGCGTTGCTCTCATGCGTTAACGTTTTCGGCATGTCTTACAGCGTCGGCGGCACTATCATCGTGATAGGCTCTACGGATATAACCCCCTCCTCTTCTTCTTCTCTGCCCTGGTTACCTCATAGCTCTCTAAGTTCTCTAAAGGAATCCATTTTACCTGAAATTGATGTGTAGCTGTAGTGTGTGTGGTCTGGTGCTTTGTTCTTCAAGCCGGAAGTGCTTCGCTACAGAGAATCTCAGCAAGTTTCAAGCAAATAGTGAAATGAAAATGGAAAGGGGAATGGTTATGCAAAGAATAAAACTGAAATGGCAGTGTTAATTGCCGTACGCGTGTCTCTGATGCGCCAGTTAGTGTTCTACACGTGGCATGCACTTAACACCCCTTTTGCATAGCTTGCGCCGGCTTTAGCTGTCACGTCCCCTCAAATGCTGAGCCAGCATTTATGGCGGGGAGGCAAAGAGATATGGGAGATCAATCGCCCAGGTTAGCCGTATCTCTTCAGAGATTTGCTGATATTTGCTAAAATCCCCCAAGATTCAGATCGTAACAAGTTGATCTATTTCTTTTCACATCCATTCCAGCTCGTCATGGTGTCCACGTTTATCAGGTCATTATAAGAGTGGCAGCTCGTGAAAGATCACAGATCGATAGATATCCGAGATCGCTCTATCTAACCTCGCTGCACACACGAGCTGATAAAGTATAATAATCAAAAATCTCAAATCATTCTGTGGTTGAGGTCGCCTCATCTCAGCTCGTCATTCTGATTGACTGACAGCATCACCTGGTCACTTCAGTACCTTCGGTAGTATTTAAGGTTCAGGTCGTCACACGTCCTCTTGCGCTTATGTTAACGTGGACGAGCTCGCTGAAATAGTGAATAACACCTTGAGTGCATGACTATTCACTAGGCGAGCTTACCTTTTGTGAGCCATTTCAGCTCACTGATATAACAAGCCCACACTAGTGAGGTTACAGATATCAGCTCGCCTGTACTCTCTCAGGCTTATGAGGTCGTCGTACTTGTACAAACCTTGTCGGATCACCGGGAGCGCAGGTTATAGAACTACAATCTGATCGAACCTTCCCCTCAGGATATGTAACCGGCGCCACCTTCCAGATCGACCGTTAACGAGGTCGCTCACGAGCTGCAAGAGTTGTTAATCCTATACACCAGCTCGAACGTTGGGCCATGGGGCACATTCGACCCAGTTCGTCAACCGAACGCCGAGGGGGGAGTAATGTTGGAATAGGCCCAACATTCAACTTGGGCTGTACATAATGGGCCTAGGCCGGTCCCCATTAGCCCAAAAGGATGGAGCACCGGTACAGCAAGTACAAACATACTCACGTGGGCAACGCCAGGTGGGCCAATTAGATGCTTACATGTACCAATGTATGTTAGCACTTGGGGTTATAAATACCCCCCAACTACCTCCAGTAAAGGTAATTAATCTCTACGCTTCTCTCTCTAGAATATTGAGTATTGCTGACTTGAGCGTCGGAGTGTTTTCCCCGAGGAAACATCCTCGGGATTTTCAGGTGTAGAAGCAGTTAAGGACTTCAACAGTGTTGGACTACGAAGCTGCCCAAACAAGTATCTTAACAAAATTTTATCCCAAAGACTGTGGGACACTACTTGGACATCAAGTAATCTACAAAAATTACAGTTCAACATATGGTTAACATGAAGGCTCTTGCTTCCTTAACTTTCCTCATCTTTAATCTTTTTGGTGAGTAAGTGAAAACTCTCCTTAGCATTCTTCGTCTTAGGCACTGAAAATGACTCCCCTTAACATTCCTCATCATAGGCTTTGAAAATGCCTTTTTCGTCTTAGATCACCTCAGGTCTTTGTGTGGTGCTAAATAGGTGCTTGATTGGTTCACCGCTTTAGCCTTAGACTCCTCTTTTAAGTACATGGCAAATTGCTTGGAAAAAAAAATAGGAGGAAAGGAGGGAAGGAGAAAAGGGAAAGAAAAGAGAACGGATGAAATAATTTTATTAAAATAATTGTATGAAATATTTTTCTATTGAGACAATTTTTTTTTTCTTATAATTATTGGACTAAAAAGTTGAAAACAAGACTAAACTCAAACATATGATAAATTTTGAAATATTATATGGATATTGTAAATAGAAAATTACCAAGTTAAATATTTAATTTAAGATAGAGGATTATATTAGAATTTAATAAATTGAAAAGTTAATTTTTCATAAAAAAAAATGTCTATTCAATTATTTGATGAGAAACATTTTATATGCTTTAATCTATTATTTTAACCTTGATTGTGTTGCTATTTGAATGAACAAGATGTAATTTTTAGTATATTTTACATAATTTTTATTCTTCGTATATAAAAAAAAAAAGATTTGAATGTAATTTGAACTTAATTGAATATCTTTTAAAATTTGAGGGACTAAATTGCCAAAAAAAGGTTGTTGTCTGTTTCAGGAACCTGAAGGAATGAATTTGAAGTTATTGGATCAAGGTGCTTATGGTATATAAGCTAGAGGACTAGACCCGCTCTTTAACCATTGAATCAGTTTAGTTTTTCTTTAGGTTAAATGGTACTTTTGGTCCCTCAATTTTAACGTTTTGCATAATTTTCATCCTTCAACTTTTTTTGCACTTTTTAGATCCCTTAATTATGAAAAATGTATTTTTTTAGTTTTTCATCTGTTAATTCGTTAAATTTATCCAAATCTACACATTTTTAGTACCTCAACTTTAAGTGAAGGGACAAACAATGTGCATATATTAGAAGTTGAGAGACTAAAAATGTGCAGATTCAAATAGATTTAATGGATTAATTAACAGAAGAACAAAAAAGGTGCATTTTTCATAGTTAAGGGACTAAAAAAGTGCAAAAAAAAGTTGAGGGACCAAAATTGGCATTTAACCTTTTCTTTATTAGTTTAGTTAATTGGTTCATTCAAATAATTTAAGGTTAAATGCTTAATTTGGTCCCTCAACTTTAGTGAGTTGCACATTTTTGGTCCCTTAACAATTTTTTACACTTTTTTGATCCCTCAACTATACGAAATGCACTCCGTTAGTCCTTCTGTTAATTTCGATCGTTAACTCGCTTATGTGACATTTTTTATTATTTTTTTGATGACGTGGCAAAAAGAAATGGAAAACATATTAGACGTGGAATTTTTTTTATGCCAACTCATGTTATTTCTATTTATATTTTTAAAAAATAAAATAAAATAATTCCTTTCTCTTTTTCTCTTTTCTTCTTCCTCTTCTTTCTTCTTCTTCTTCTTCCTCTTCTTTCTTCTTCTTCTTCTTCCTCTTCTTCCTCGGGTTCCATCGAACCCTCTGCTGG